GGGAAGACTGTGGTGTAACGCGAGTGGTCATCAACCACCAACAGGAAGTAGCGCTCGTGACCCTGCCCACGGACGGGGGCCGGGCCCCACACGTCCATGTGAAGTGTCTGCAGAGGAGCCTCTGTCGGGGGAAACTAGGAGGAGTGAGGAGCAGCCCTGAGGCGCCCCTCGACACAGGGGACACAGGAAGGTCCTGGTCCCGAAGGAAGGGGAGGGAGAGACTGGGGAAGACCAGAGACAAGGACACGGGAAGCCATGCCCCGAAGACGGGGCAAGGAGGGGTGGCCAAGACGGTGGTGCCACAGGAGAGTCTCGTGAGACAGGAGGCGACAAGAACAGGGGGCAAACTCAGGACCTGACCGGGACGCAGCAGCAAGCACCTGACCTGACGCAGCCACCTGACCAGACGCAGGGACAGGAGGAGACTCAACGGTCAGGGTGTAGAGACTCGACCCCGGCCGACGCGAGAACGTGGCCAGGTGTCGGCCTGTGCGTGCCTCCGTGCAGTGGGTCACCCGCTGACTCGCAGGAGTGAACTGGTGAACCCCCACATCCTGCAGGTCCGCGCCACTCACCAAGTTCTTAGAGAACGAGGGAAGGTACAGACCAGACAGGGTGCCCGAAGGGGCAGCCGGACACGGGAGGACAGTGGAGAAGTGAGACAGGACAGGACCCCCAGAGGGGTCAGCAAGGGAGACTGCAACCGGCCGGCCGAGCGGCGTAAGGGTAGTGCGGTCTCGAAAGAAGGAGCGAGAAGCCCCGGAGTCAAGTGTGAAAGTGAGGGAGGACGAGGACGACGCAGTACCTGAGAGCGCAGTCTCACCAGTACCTGAGAGTGCAGACGCACTGGCACCTAGAGCAGCAGCCTCACAAGCACCTAGCGCAGCAGTACCAATGCCCGGGTCGGGCTGGAAACACCGGTAACCCTCATTCTCCTCACTATAAGTCACAGCATACATAGCAGCAAGGATAGCATCAAAATCAAGATCAAAGATCGCTACACCAGCCCTAAGAAGCTCATCCCAGCGAGGGATCTCAGTAGCCCCAGGGAACTGCTGACGCCAAGCGTCCGTCAGGCGGCCAAAGCTGCGCTGGGCAGCGTGGGCACCCCCACAGTGCTCACCCGCGCGGTCGACGGAACAAAGAACGTAGGTGCAGGGACCCGTACCCCCACCCCTCTGACGCCCAGCGTACCACTCACGAAGCTGCTGAGGCGGAGGGATGTCCCGCGAGCGCTGCTGCTGCTGCCGCTGCGAGCGCTGGCCACCACCACCGCCGCCACGCTGCTGGGTACCACCCCGACCAGCTCCACCTCCTCCACCACCACCGCCTCCTCCGCTGCCGCCTCCACCGCCTCCACCTCCGCCGCCTCCACCTCCGCCGCTGCCTCCACCACCACCGCTGGCACCACCACCACCGTTTCCGCCGCTGCTGCCACCACCACCACCACCACCCCCGCCACTAGTCCCGCCGCCACCCCCACTCCCTCCGCCGCCACCGCCGCCACCGCCACCGCCCCCTCCAGCTCCACCCGCGCCCTTGCCCCCCTTGCCCTTGCTGGAGCGACGTCTCCCACTAGGGGCAGACGCCGCGCCGACCGACTCAAGACCAAGCAGGTCGGCAGCAGCAGCAGAGGCAACAGAGGGCAGCAAGGGGGAAGGAGAGCACCCCTCAAAGATGGGGGTGCGAGGGTCACCACGAGAAGCACCTACAGCGACTATGCTCTTCTCCGCTGCGAGGAGGGCCTTCTCGAGGAGGTCGACGGTGAGGGTGGTGGGACAGACTGCGAGAAAGTGGTCCCTGACGACGCGAAGGGAGTCAGGGAGGCGCGCGACTACGTAGTAGAGAGCGATGTACATGGGGGGTGGGTTCTTAGCGCAGAACTCAGCAGGAAGGGCGGCGCGGTAGCGAGTGTCACTAGTGCGGAGGTGCGTAATGAGGTCAGCGACAGTGGGAAAGGCAGAGAGGTCAGGAAAGAGGTAGGGAAGCATGAGACGGCTCAGTGCAGCAGTGGCAGGGGAGGAGTAGCGCGCAACTACAGCGTCGTACAAGGTCTGAGCACTCTTGTACTGACTAAAGTGCGCACGCTCAGAGGTAGGGAGGTGGCGATGCACAGCAAGACGTGCAGCAGCATCGCGGGTGGCCCACTGAGAGCGGACAGTGGGATCAGCATCAGCAGCAGGAGCAGGAGAGGCGCCAGAGGTGAGGTCAAAGGGAGAAAGGCCGTCAGCCCTGTCGCACTGTAAGAACAGCTGCAGGTCGTCTAACCAGACCTCAAAATCAATGGCGCGACCTTCAGCGTCAAAAGCTAGGACACTAGGGGTAGCCATGACGACGACAGCGACGCAGTGCAAGCAGTAGGGGAAGAGCACGCAGTGACAGTGCGACTGTGCTCACCAGGCAGGGCAGGCCGGGCAACTCTGCAGAAGGGCGGCTCGGCGACTCAGTGACTCGGCTGCTGGGCGGCTCGGCTCCCGGGCGGCTCGGCGGCAGGCGGCTCGGGTGCAGGGCGGCTCGGCGCCCGGGCGGCTCGGCGGCAGGGCGGCTCGGGTGCAGGGCGGCTCGGCTCCCGGGCGGCTCGGCGGCAGGGCGGCTCGGGTGCAGGGCGGCTCGGCTCCCGGGCGGCTCGGCGGCAGGGCGGCTCGGGTGCAGGACGGGGCCGGGACAGGGGACGGCGGGGCCGACTGGTGCAGTGGCGGGGCCGTCAGGGTGCAGCGGCAGGGCCGTGACAGGGGACGGCGGGGCCGTCAGGGTGCAGCGGCGGGGCCGGCAGGGTGGAGCGGCGGGGCCGGGACAGGGGACGGCGGGGCCGTCAGGGTGCAGCGGCGGGGCCGACTGGTGCAGTGGCGGGGCCGTCAGGGTGCAGCGGCGGGGCCGTGACAGGGGACGGCGGGGCCGTGACAGGGGACGGCGGGGCCGTCAGGGTGCAGCGGCGGGGCCGACAGAGGTGCAGCGGCGGGGCCGGCAGGGTGCAGCGGCGGGGCCGGGACAGGGGACGGCGGGGCCGTCAGGGTGCAGCGGCGGGGCCGAAAGGTGCAGTGGCGGGGCCGTCAGGTTGCAACGGCGGGGCCGAGAGTAGGGGACGGCGGGGCCGTCAAAAGAGGACGGCGGGGCCGTCAGGTGACGGGGCCCGCTGCAGCGACGAAGAGGCCGCGCGGCCGGCGTGAGGGCGGCGGGGCGCAGCAGAGCCGAGAGGGCGGCGCGGCGCGGCCGTAAGGCCAGCGCGACGTGGGGCCTGGGCCGCGCGCGCGAAAAAAAAGGAGTCGCGCGCGCGACTCGCGGGGCGCCACAAGGGCAGCGCGACAAGCACTAGGGGGGAGCGCGCCTCTTGGAGAATAGGGCGCGCTCCGGGCAGGAAAAAAAAAAATCGTGGGTGGGCCCTTAAAAAAAACGGTCCTTAGGAGGGACCCGCTCTATACCATGTGAGAATCAAAGAACAGGAATGAAATGACTAAGTCAGAGTTGGGTACAAATACAACCCTAGAAAGCTGTACCCCATATGTGCTACCCCACTATAGCCTACAAACATGCATCAGCTATGATAATCTGACATGTTTGACCTTATTTTCATTTATAAATACATAAGTTTCAATTCGGTTTTCTTATATTAACATTTTTACGTTTTTTGTGATATTGTTTGGCCTTATTTTCATTTATAAATACATAAGTTTTAATTCGGTTTTCTTATATTAACATTTTTACGTTTTTTTGTGATATTGTTTGGCCCTATTTTCATTTATAAATACATAAGTTTTAATTCGGTTTTCTTATATTAACATTTTTAACACATGTTTGTAATTGATTTGCGAAATTGTTATCGAATTCAATTACGAAATGCATTTGCGAAGTTCCTGGCTTTTACGGGGTATACGGAGTAACCGAACTCCGTTGAGAGGTGCCCTCGGGGTATCTCTCAACGGAAATTGGGGGTGACGCAGGATGACGCAAAGTGGTTCACTTTGCCAGACAGGGCGTAGCAGGGTGACGCAAGGTGACGCTCCCAAAATGGGAGGTTTGTTTTTTGCCCCCGCACTATTCCCGGCGCGTTGAGATATACAGCTGATGCTCACCCCATGCACGCGAAATTGCCATGCACTGGATGGAAACGCTGCCCCCTGTCAGAGGTCCACTGGTGATCCCCGATTGATCCTAAGAAAGGGTTACAAGCACGTTGGCCTGGGGGGTTATGGGCGCACTTACCCGCTACACAAACAAGCCCTTTTATCCCAGTGGTCTAGTGGCTGGGATTCTGAGATGGTATTCAGAGCGAAGGTCTCGGGTTCGAATCCTGGTGTGTGCACCTCGGGCATCCCAGTGCGGGGGGGTGTCAGAGGTCCACTGGTGATCCCCGATTGATCCTAAGAAAGGGTTACAGGCACGTTGGCCTGGGGGGTTATGGGCGCACTTACCCGCTACACAAACAAGCCCTTTTATCCCAGTGGTCTAGTGGCTGGGATTCTGAGACCCCCGAGCAGGAAACCCCCGCTTGCTGCTCCCACAGTACAAGCCCCCGGGGTGGCAGGAAACAGTGCGCGCGACTCGGACAGTTTAACACGTGCAGTCCCGAACAACCAACGCCAACCCTGCTGTGCCCCGTTTCCAGGCCAGGAGCCTGCACCGCGAAAGTGAGTGGACGAAACGAACGAGGCCTCGTGAACGCAATCGCCAATCCACCCCGCCACCTAGGCATGGATCATTGTGCGTGTAACAGACAACGTGGGCAAATTCACGATCCCACGTGTAATCTGCCTGTGCTGGGTACAAGCGTTATTGTAGCCAGGCATTGTTCTCATACACCACGTCAGACAATTGAACGTAAGGTTACCAACCTAAAACGTCAAATGTGCAAGCCAGGTGCATGGAACGAACTCCAACCACACGTACAGTTCCAAGCCCCAAAGAACAGACCCCAACCTTGTCCCAGGTGAGTTCGAACTCAGGATAAAATGTGAACAACAATTTCACTAAGACAGTTAGTTCACTCACCTCATCCTGACACAATGCCCCGATTTAATCGACGGGAACAGCTGCCGCTCCACATCAAGCGCGCCATTTGCGCGCACCACGTCGAACACCCCGTCCTGCGCCATGTCGACCTAGCTCGATGGTGTTTCTCCCAGTACGGGTTGCGCCCGGATCGCTCTACGATCGGCCGCATCCTAAAAACCGCCGAGCGATGGGCTGTGACGTCCGACGACGACAACCCGGTGCGCCGTCGGGGAGGCGCCTGGCCTGAGCTGGAGCAGGCCATGGGGCGGTGGATAGCAAACGCAGGACCCGCCGGTGTGCCCCTCACACTCCAAACCATCCGCGACCATGTCGCGGCGATGGCAAGGAACATGGGCATTCCGCCCACCTTCCGATGCTCGATCGGTTGGGTGCGCCGTGCATTGCGGCGCCAGGGCGTGAGATGCCGTGCGGCACAGGGCGAGGCCGCCAGCGCAGATATGGCGGCCGTGCGCGACGCCCGTGAGAAGATGCCGCGACTCCTCACGCAGCTCGGCGTCGCCCCGCGGGACACCTTCAACCTCGACGAGACTGCTCTCTGGCTGTCGGTGCTTCCGCGGCGCACGTACAGCAGCGGCCGCATACCAGGCCGCAAGGTCTCGAAGGAGCGATTGACCGTCGCATTCCTCGTGAATGCGGACGGTAGCCATGCATTCTGGCCGCTTGTGATCAGCAAGGCGAAGAGGCCGCATGACTTCCGGCCCGACTACGACCCTGAGGCGCTATGCTACTGGCGCCATAACGCCAAAGGCTGGATGACCATGCCAGTAAGCATCTTTGCGTTCGATGTGCACATTTTTGACTCTCATTGCTTTTAAGCGCAATTTTTTCATGTGTCTGTTCTCACGATGATGACGACCGTGCCCCCTTCTTCCATGCCATCCCGTCCAACAGTTATTCACGCATTTCATGTTGAACAAGGAATGAAATGACTAAGGATGAAATGAGTACAAATATGGAAACCTAGAAGAGTGTACCCCCTATAGGCTAACCCACTGTAGCCTAAACAACTACAACAATAAATAATGTTTGACACACCCCCATAGGCGAAGTGGGGGAGAACTAGGGGTCACAAGACCAGTCAAGTAAAGCAAAGCAAAGCAAAGCAAGCTTAGGGTGGATCACAATGTCACCACACAATCCGAGCACAAGTTTAAGGCCACAAAGCCAGTTCACATGCAGGAGTACATATATATATAAGACTAAACAATCAAGAGCAGTGATATATATATATGTAACAGTACAAAGAGGGTCAAGAGGAGAGCAAGTGAGGCAGGACAGACACAAGACCCAGCTGGGTACAGCAGCGCTGATGATCACAAGGCGCATGTGCCTTGGTGAAAACATCAGCAGTGTTGGCCTCAGAGGCCACGTACGCAAGTTGCAACTGACCACGTTGCTGTAGCTCACGAGCAAGGAAGTAGCGGAGAGCAATGTGCTTTGTTCTGTGCTCCAGTCTCTGCTCTCGACACAAGGCCAGCATGGCCTTGTTGTCGACGTACAGGACTGGAGGAGAACGAGGCGGCTCTCCAAGGCCGGTCAGCAGGTAGGTGAGCCAGCGAAGCTCCTGTGCAGCCATGGCCCCTGCGTAGATCTCAGCCTCACAACTGGAGCCGAGAACAGAAGACGAGCGAGTAGCCCGCCACGAAACAGAGCCGGAACCAAGGCTGAAGGTGTAACCCTGTGACGACCGCTGCGTAGCCTGGTCGTCAGCCCAAGAAGCGTCCGCGTGACCAGTGAGGACCACTGGACTCCGCCCTCCAAGCACTAGTCCCATGCCCGACGTACTGCACAAGTAACGCAACACCCTCTTCGCTGCAGCCATGTGCTTTGGTCGGTGTCTCCCAGGAGCAACATAGCGCGCAAGAATGCTAAGAGGGTATGCAAGGTCAGGTCGTGTGCAGGTCATCAGGTACATGAGACAGCCAACAAGCTCTGGGTACGGGCCACTCGACTCTACGGACTCATCCGAAGGCAGAGCTGAGAGCGAGTGGCGAGTAGACAGAGGAGTGGCCTGAGGCGAGGAGTACGTGAAGCCGAAGCGCTGAAGGACCTGCTGCACCATGTGTGACTGAGTAAGGGTAATGGTGCGGCGTGCTCTGTCCCGTGTGATCTGCAAGCCAAGGTAGCTGCGCAGTTCACCCAGGTCAGTGCACGTGTGTCTCTTCTGCAGCTCGGACTTCACGTAGGCGAGTCCAGCAGTGTCACCAGTGGCAAAGACCAAGTCGCCGACGTACACGAGGATGTAGAACGGCGGCAGAGAAGTGTCGGTGCGCAGAAACAGCGACGGGTCGGCAGTAGAAGGAGCAAACCCAAGTGCCGCCAGCGTGGTCCTCAGTGTGTCGTGCCACTCACGTGGCGCCTGGCGGAGACCGTAGACTGGACGCCGGAGACTCCACTGGGTACCAGGAGGGAAAGACCGAGTGAAGCCAGGTGGGCGACGCAGCCAGATCTCCTCGTGCAGGCTGCCCTGCAAGAAAGCAGTGCTGAAGTTGAGAGAGTGAAGCTCGTAGTCCCGGTGAGCAGCAACGTGCAGGAGTACCCGAAGAGTGGTCATCTTCAGGGTGGGGGAGAAGGTCTGAAAGTAGTCAACCCCCTGCCGCTGACTGAAGCCACGAGCCACGTAACGCGCCTTGAAGACAGGCGGAGAACCCGGCGGCCGCTTCACCCTGAAAATCCACATGCCACTGACGATGTTCGCCCCAAGAGGGGGAACAGCGTCGACGTAGGTGCCTGTGGACTTCCAGGAAGCCATCTCTGCATCCATAGCTGCCTGCCACTGAGAGGAGTAGGGACCCTCTATCGCCTCCGCGTAAGAGCGCGGAGTCGGGATGTCTAGTGCATCCGGGTCTCCCTCAGAGGCTAGCAGTACAGACGCGAGATGAGGTGAAGCGGCGGCCAGACACTGGAACTCCTCCTGCGTGTCCTCAAGGACGTCCGTGCCAAGGGCACACTCACCCCCGACGGACGGAGGACAGGCAGACTCAGACTCAGCGACAAGACTAGCAGCGTAGTCTAGACGACAGCGCGCAGCAAAGTCAACGAGCTCAGTGACAAGGGCAGACGCAGCAGAAGACTCGAAAGAAGGGTCAGTGACAGCAGTAGCAAGGAGACGCGTGACAGTGGGACTGGCAGCACGAAGAGAGTCCGACTCCGGGTCGGGAAGAGCAGGAAGAGAGGAAGCAGGAGGAGAAGGCAAAGGGGCACGCAGAGGAGCAGTAGACGGACACAGAGACATCCGGTGCGTGCCAGGGACAGGAGGAGGACGCTGACGCGAACCGCGACCACTAGCGCGCGCAGTACGAACAGGCGACGCAGGACAAGACGCAGGCTCACCACGCTCAGTAAGACCTCCAGTCGGACCAGCGTAGGGAGAAGGAGCAGGCAAAGGTGAGGCAGGCTGTAGCTATGACTGTGACGAGAAAGGCTGTGGACCCTCTAAGGGAGGAGGAGGAGGACCAGGAGAAGGTGTAAGACCAAGAACCTGCTGAAGGAGCGGAACGAAGTACGGCTGAGGGCGCGCGGCGACTCCAGACACAGCAGGGACAGGACCAGTGCCCCCAGCGGCAGTACCAACGCCCGAGTCCGCAGCACCAGCAGGGACTCCAACACCAGGGTCCTCAGCACCAGTCACAGCTCCAACGCCCGGGTCCTCAGCACCAGCAGCAGCTCCAACGCCCTGGTCCGCAGTACCAGCAGGAGCTCCACCGCCCGGGTCCTCAGCACCAGCAGCAGCTCCAACGCCCGGGTCCTCAGCACCAGCAGCAGCTCCAACGCCCGGGTCCGCAGTACCAGCAGCAGCCCCAACGCCCGGGTCCTCAGCACCAGCAGCAGCACCAACGCCCGGGTCCTCAGCACGAGGAGCAGCTCCAACGCCCGGGTCCGCAGTACCAGCAGCAGCCCCAACGCCTGGGTCCTCAGCACCAGCAGCAGCTCCAACGCCCGAGTCCGCAGTACCAGCAGCAGCCCCAACGCCCGGGTCCTCAGCACCAGCAGCAGCACCAACGCCCGGGTCCTCAGCACCAGGAGCAGCTCCAACGCCCGGGTCCGCAGTACCAGCAGCAGCCCCAACGCCCGGGTCCTCAGCACCAGCAGCAGCTCCAACGCCCGGGTCCGCAGCACCAGCAGCAGCTCCAATGCCCGGGTCCGCAGCACCAGCAGCAGCAAGGTCCGTGAGACGAGGCGCGCCACTACGAAGTGTGCAACGGCGCTCGTACCACTCACGGATCCGCTCACGAGAGGGGAGCTCCCGACTAGAAGGAGAAGTGCCAGCACCAGTCTCCGTAGCGCGCCTGGTCCCAGAGGTACCCCTCCGGAGGCTGCAGTACTGTAAGTACCACTCACGCAACTGCTCCGAGGAGAGGTCTCGGCCAGGCGGAGGACCCCCTGGCGCAGTACCGCCAGGCTCAGCACCCCCAGTCACCGTACCCCCAGGCACAGCACCCTCAGGCTCAACACCCTCAGTGTCCGCACCCCGAGGCTCAGCACCCCCAGAGTCAGTACCCCCAGGCTCAGCACCCCCAGAGTCCGCACCCCCAGGCTCAGCACCCCCAGTGTCCGCACCCCCAGGCTCAGCACCCCCAGCAGGACGAGAGTCGACAGCAACCTCAACAGGCTCGACCGGGTCTACCTGAGACACACCTGAGGGAGCGGCACCCTGAGGGGGGAGGGGGTCTACGACAGCAGCACCTGGCGCGAGGAAGAGAGGCGGGTGAGGGAGCGGGGAAGTGCGGTAGGCGAAGAGGCGGTAGTAGGGGACAGACTCGTCAAAAGTGACGTCCTGAGAGGGCAAGACCCGGCGCGAGGTGGCGTGGTAAAACTGCCAACCAGGTGCGTCCGGGACAAAGCCGAGGAAGACGCAGGGAACAGCACGAGAGGAGAGCTTGTCCGCAGACGAATCGCGAACAAAAGCTCGAGATCCCCAGACCCGGAAACGCGACGCATCGCCTACCTCCCCCGTCCACAGCAGTGTGGGCGAGGTCTCCGGCAAGGAGACACGGGGCCAGAGGTTGAGCTGATGCGCAGCGTACCGGACCGCAAACGGCCACAGAAAATGGGGGGCAGCCGCATGGATCAAGGAGGTACGGGCGACCTCCATGACCAGGCCAATGCGGCGCTCCGCAACCCCATTCTGCTGTGGAGAGGCCGGAAGCGTGAACGACTGCTCAATGCCGTGCTCAGCACAGTAGGCTGCCAAGAGGTCGGAGGAGAACTCACCACCTCTGTCAGAGTGCAAGCGCAGGACAGGAAAGTCCGAGCGGAAACGCTCGCTGAGCTGGAGACGAGCTCTGCGGATCCAAGGGATCAAAACATCAGGGACCTCACCCTTGGTGCGCAAGGGGAAGACCGTGGTGTAGCGCGAGTAGTCGTCAACAACGATCAGGAAGTACCTCTCCTGACCCTGACCACGGACGCGGGCTGGGCCCCACACGTCCATGTGGAGCGTCTGCAAAGGAGCAGTCGTTGGGGGAAACGAGGAGGAGTGAGGAGCGGCGCGCTGCCGCCCCTCGACACAGGGAAGGCAGGGAGGAGCAGGCGAGGGTGGGAGAGGAGGGAGAACCCTGGGAAGACCAGAGACAAGGTACCGGGAGTGCATGGCACGAAGGCGCTGCACAGACGGGTGGCCAAGTTGGTGGTGCCAGAGGACAGTCTCGTGCGCTAGAGAGCGACACGAGCAGGGGGCAGACAGCTGACCTGACGCGGACGCAAACGCAGACGCAGACGCAGCGACCTGAGGGGAGGCAGTAGTCAGTGTGTACAGGTCCGACCCCGGCTGCCGGGTGAAGGTAGCCAAGTGGCGGCCCGTACGAGCACACGTGCAGTGTGTCACACGCTCGTAGGCAGGGGTGAACTGGTGAACACCCCCGTCCTGGAGAGCAGAACCTGCCACCAAGTTCGTGGAGAACGAGGGGAGGTGGAGACCTGACAGTGTGCCCGACGGGACCGCAGGGCAGGGAAGGACAGTGGAGGAGGTCGCAATGACCGGACCCCCAGAGGGGTCAGCAAGGGAGACAGCAACTGGCCGAGCAAGGGGCTCAAGGGCAGTGCGGTCACGAAAGAAACAGCGAGAGGCACCTGAATCCAGCGTGAAGGTGTGCAGTGCTGCAGTCGACACAGTACCAGGGGGGGCAGACACGCACGCACCTAGAGCAGCAGCCTCACCAGCACCTGGGGTAGCAGACACGTGGGTACCTGGAGCAGCAGACGCACTCGTCCTAATGCCCGGGTCGGGCGGGACACTCAGGTACTCAGAACCCTCTCCACTAGTAGACATCACATACATGGCAGTGAGAATAGCATCAAAATCTAGAGCATAGATATCAATCCCCTTCTTCAGGAGATCAAGCCAGCGGGGCAGCTTAGTGGCCTGAGGGAACTGAACACGCCAAGCGTCGCTCAGACGAGCGAAGCAACGCTGTGTGGCGTGCGGTCCCCCACACGGCTGGCCAATGCGGTCACCAGTGCGAATGACGTACGTGCAGCTAAGGCCACCCCCCCCCCCCGTGCTGAGAGTACCACTCACGGACCTCCTGGGGCGAGGGAGTGTGCTGCTGTCCCTGGCCACCGCCAGTGGTTGGGATTCTGACATTTCATTACTCAACTCAACGCGGCGATGTTTGTCGAGGGTCGCAAAATAGTGGTGCTGCTGGACAACGCGAGCAGCCACATGCTGCGCTCTCAAGATGCATGGAGCGAGATCGTGTGCGGCGTCAGGACCACGTACATGAGCCACGTGCGGCTTGTCTTTCTGCCGCCCAATACCACGGCATTCACTCAGCCGCTTGACCAGGGCATAATCGCCACCGCGAAGGCCCGCTACCGCCAGCATTGGCTGCGGGCCTTCTCGGGTTTATGGAACGCCGACGGAGCGACTTCCGCGGTCGCTCGATTCCGGCCGAATCTGCGAGATGTGCTCGGGTGGTTGTCGGAGTCGTGGACCTCCGTCGGCGCGCGCACCATTCAACGGTGCTGGTGGCGCACGGGGTGTCTTCCCCTCTCGTGGTCACTGGAGCTGCCGCACGTGCATGACGACGAGCCCATCCCCGCAGCTTATCCCGACATCGAACTCGACGATGACATCGATGATGTCGGGACGCTTATTAACAGGCTCGCCCTCGGGGATGCGGCAATGACGGCGGCGGAATACGTCGCCATCGACGACGCGGAGCCCACATGTGCGGAAGGCACGGCACACCCGCCCGTGACAGAGGAAGAGATGCGCTTGGAGGTGGAGCTCTGGCAGGCGCCGACGACCATGCAGGCCGTCTACGACGACGCCGACCCCGTGTGCCGTGAAGCGCGCCGCACTGCTCGTGCGGCGTGCGAGATGCTCATCGGCTACGCCCGGGCCACCCGCATCACTCCGCGCGATCTGTGCGCTCTTTTCGACATCCGCAATCCAATCATAATCGCGCGGATGGAGCGGGCGAGCCCGGGATTCAATCTCAACGTGGCGCCGCAGCCCGTACCCTCCCCCGGCGCAACCCCCACTCCTGAGACCCCTCGTCCGCGGGGCCCTGTGCTGCCCGACTGGATGACCCGCCCGTCCCGTCGTCAGCAGCTGCTTGATGCCGGGGTGGGCGCCGTGATGGACGGCTATGTGGATGCAGCTGAATGGATGCGTCTGTGAGAGGGGGTGGAGCAGCCAGAGCAAAGTGTCGAGTGAATTTTGCAGGGCCCCAGTTATTAAACATTGTGCCCATTTCAGTGTGTTTCGTTTCGTGTGTTGTGTTGCTATGGGGGGCCAGGTGGGAGTTGTTGATTGGATGTTTATGTTGTGTTAGTTGTTTCTCACCTCGAGGAATAATTGATGTGCACGCCTGATTCATTACTGTAGTGGTCGTGTAGTAACATTGAACACACGAAGGAGACAAGCACGGCAAACCCCCACTGTTACGAAACAAACAAAAGGTGAGGTAACCATTTGCGGGTTAGAGGCACGGGATACGCGTGACGAAACGAACGAACTGTTGGGTGCAAAACGTATTTTGCACGTCAACCTGTCGCCTATTCGTCGAGTGATGTGAAATTTGAAGGTATTTGTTTTGAGGTATTTTGTGTGGTGTGGAATGCGCATTTGTGTGCTTTTCATTTTGGCTCTTACGGTTTATGAATCGCCTTAACGGTTCATGAGTTATGTGGATTTTGGTGTGAGGTTGCATTCATGCGTTTTCATGATTGTTCGTGTGTGTTTCGTGTTGTTCGTGTCGTGTCATGAATGTGCGTGAAGTTCCGAGTGATCATGTGCTTTCATGAGCCTTCGCGCGTTAATGTCTGTTCGCGTGTTGTTCGTGCAAGCTTGATGAGCGCTCATGTTCGTTCATGACTGTTTATGTACCGTTCATGTTTCTTTCATGAGTTTTCGTATACTGTTCATGAGTGTTCATGGTGCATGGCGAGTGTTTTTGCAGGGAGATATTTTAGCGCTGGTCAAGGTTGTTAAGGGCGCCAGAATCGGGACCGCGCGTGTGGGTCCAAATCTCGCGCGTGGGTCCTGAGGGCCCACGCGTGTGGCTGGGCACTGTTGCGCGAGGGAACAAGGCCAATGAACGCAACACGACAACGCACATTTGTGCGCTGTACAGCACGACCGAAATATCGGTCGTGCATGATTGCGCACCTGAGGGGTGCGCGCGTGTTTCGGAGGGTGCTGCGGGATCCCGAGAGGTTCTCGGGATTCACTCAAGATTTCAGCTGTATAACTGAATCTCGAGCGTGTCTTTTTGTGACGTGGCACATAGAACTTTCGCGTGAAAGCTGCGCGCCTAACAGGACAGTGCGAATTACAGGTACAAAACGGAAATATCCCTTTTACAACTGTAAACAGTGGGAAAACGGGAATTCCCACACGAGCGTTCATGATCCTACTTGTGCGTTCATGATCGTTCGCGAGAGGAGTCAGCAAAGGAGTTTGGCAGACATGAAAGTTGAAGACAGTTTTTTCAAGGACTCAGATCAAGCCAAATGCAGCAGCAGTTTGGCAACCGTTTTTCGAGACAGCAAGGCGAAGTCCTAGAAATGCAGTTAATCAACCGTTTGCTATTTTCCTTTGCATGTGTGTTAGGCGAACTATATTTGCATGCTTGTGCGAAGTTGTAATCAATCCTTTGGTGAATGAAAATTGCTCTATCGACGTATTGACGCGAGGAGCTTTTCTGCACACGCACATATCGTTCGTCAACGCTGCGCAATTGAGCTTGGGAATGCTCTTAGTGCACACGACCGTTTTTACACTAAGGAAAATCCCTCTACAAACACGGACCCTTGGTTTGGGGCTGGCGTTGCCAGGCACCCGAGGACCCTTGGAGGGGACCCCGTCGGGACTACCTAGAGTCTATAAAAGGTGTGATTAAGAGTTTCTAGATCTCAATAGTGGTCAACACGAACCTCTGGCGAAATGAGTTTTAGCTTATAGTCCCAGAGCACAAGGCAACCGGGAGGGGCTCTAACGAGCATCAGGTGTACCATGCTACATCGCGGGGCTGAAAACCGACATTCGCCGCCAGGTTGCAGCAGCGAATTGCAGCAGCTACAGTGAAATCGTATCGGCCGCGGAGTGTTTTGACTTGGTCAACGCCGGAACACGACGACCCCATGTCGTCGGATCACGACAAGGAGATCGCTCGGCTTCAACCATGTTCGCCGTGAGAAAGTTAGAACGAGAATGAAATGACTATGAATGAAGTGAGTACAAATAGGAAACTCTAGTTGGGTTGTACCCCTTATGGGATACCCCACTATAGCCTACACAAATAAGTAAGCTATAATATTCTGACACACCCCCATAGGCAAAGTGGGGAAGAACAAGGGGTCACAAGACCAGTCAAGCAAAACAAAGCAAAGCTCAGGGTGGATCACAAAGTCACCACACATTCCGAGCACAAGTTCAAGGGCCACAAGGCCAGTTCACATGCAAGACCATATATAGAGATATACAAGAGTCAAGCAAGCAAGAGCAAGAGTATATATATAGGTCGAGGTACAAGCAAGGTCAAGAAGTGAGCAAGTGAGGCAAGACAGGCACAAGACCCAACTGCGTGCAGCAACGCTGATGATCACAAGGCGCAAGTGCCTTGGTGAAGACATCAGCAGTGTTGGCCTCAGAGGCCACGTACGCAAGTCGCAACTGTCCACGCTGCTGTAGCTCACGAGCAAGAAAGTAGCGGAGAGCAATGTGCTTTGTCCTGTGCTCCAGTCGCTGCTCTCGACACAAGGCCAGCATGGCCTTGTTGTCTACGTACAGGACTGGAGGAGAACGAGGCGGCTCTCCAAGGTCGGTCAACAAGTAGGTGAGCCAGCGTAACTCCTGTGCAGCCATAGCCCCGGCGTAGATCTCAGCCTCACAACTGGAGCCGAGAACAGAAGACGAGCGGGTAGCCCGCCACGAAACAGAGCCGGAACCAAGGCTGAAGGTGTAACCCTGTGACGACCGCTGCGTAGCCTGGTCGTCAGCCCAAGAAGCGTCCGCGTGCCTAATGAGGACCACTGGACTGCGCCCTCCAAGCACTAGCCCCATGCCCGACGTACTGCACAAGTAGCGCAACACCCTCTTCGCTGCAGCCATGTGCTCTGGTCGGTGTCTCCCAGGAGCAACATAGCGTGCAAGAATGCTAAGAGGGTATGCAAGGTCAGGTCGTGTGCAGGTCATCAGGTACATGAGGCAGCCAACAAGCTCTGCATACGGGCCACTCGACTCTACGGACTCATCCGAAGGCAGAGCTCAGAGCGAGTGGCGAGTAGGCAGAGGAGTGGCCTGAGGCGAGGAGTACGTGAAGCCGAAGCGCTGAAGGACCTGCTGCACCATGTGTGACTGAGTCAGGGTAATGGTGCGGCGTGCTCTGTCTCGGGTGATCTGCAAGCCAAGGTAGCTGCGCAGTTCACCCAGGTTAGTGCATGTGTGTCTCTTCTGCAGCTCGGACTTCACGTAGGCGAGTCCAGCAGTGTCAGCTGTGGCAAAGACCAAGTCGTCGACGTACACGAGGATGTAGAACGGCGGCAGAGAGGTGTCGGTGCGCAGAAACAGCGACGGGTCAGCAGTAGAAGGAGCAAACCCAAGTGCCGCCAGCGTAGTCCTCAGTGTGTCGTGCCACTCACGTAACGCCTGGCGGAGACCGTAGACTGGACGCCGGAGACTCCATTGGGTACCAGGAGGGAAAGACCCAGTGAAGCCAGGTGGGCGACGCAGCCAGATCTCCTCGTCAGGCTGCCCTGTAAGAAAGCTGTGCTGAAGTCGAGAGAGTGCAGCTCGTAGTCACGGTGAGCAGCAACGTGCAGCAGTACCCAAAGAGTGGTCATCTTCGGGGTGGGGGAGAAGGTCTGAAAGTAGTCAACCCCCTGCCGCTGACTGAAGCTACGAGCCACGTAACGCGCCTTGAAGACAGGCGGAGAACGCGGCGGCCGCTTCACCCTGAAAATCCACATGTCACTGATAATGTTCGCCCCAGGAGGGGGAACAGCGTCGACGTAGGTGCCTGTGGACTTCCAGGAAGCCATCTCTGCATCCATAGCTGCCTGCCACTGAGAGGAGTAGGGACCCTCTATCGCCTCCGCGTAAGAGCGCGGAGTCGGGATGTCTAGTGCATCCGGGTCTCCCTCAGGGGCTAGCAGTACAGACGCGAGATGAGGTGAAGCGGCGGCCAGACACTGGAACTCCTCCTGCCTGTCCTCAAGGACGTCCGTGCCAAGGGCACACTCACCCCCGACGGACGGAGGACAGGCAAACTCAGACTCAGCGACAAGACTAGCAGCGTAGTCTAGACGACAGCGCGCAGCAAAGTCGACGAGCTCAGTGACAAGGGCAGACGCAGCAGAAGACTCGAAAGAAGGGTCAGTGACAGCAGTAGCAAGGAGACGCGTGACAGTAGGACTGGCAGCACGAAGAGAGTCCGACTCCGGGTCGGCAAGAGCAGGAAGAAGGGAAGCAGGAGGAGAAGGCAAAGGGGCACGTAGAGGAGCAGTAGACGGACGCAGAGACATCCGGTGCGTGCTAGGGACAGGAGGAGGACGCTGACGCGAATCGCGACCACTAGCGCGCGCAGTACGAACAGGCGACGCAGGACGAGACGCAGGCTCACGACGCTCAGTAAGACCTCCTGTCGGACCAGCGTAGGGAGAAGGAGCAGGCAAAGGTGAGGCAGGCTGTAGCTGTGACTGTGACGAGACAGGCTGTGGACCCTCTAAGGGAGGAGGAGGAGGACCAGTAGAAGGTGTAAGACCAAGAACCTGCTGCAGGAGCGGAACGAAGTAGGGCCGGGGCCGCGCGGCGACGCCAGAAACAGCAGGGACAGCACCAGTACCCCCAGCAGGAGTACCCGCTCCAGCAGGACCTCCAGCATCTCCAGAACCTCCAGCAGCACCACTCGGAGCACCGCCAGTCGGACCTCCAGCGGCAGTCTCTGCGTCAACACCCTCAGCAGCACCAGCTCCAGGAGAACCCTCAGACCCAGCAGCTCCAGCACCCACAGTACGAGCACCGCCGGGACGCTCGGCAGCAGTACCCTCTGCAGCCGAAGAACCTCCAGCACCAACAGCACGCCTCCAGCGCCTGGCAAACCACTCACGTAGCTCCTGAGGGGAGAGTGGCTCTCTGCGAGACGAAGCACCTCCAGGCGGAGCACCCCCAGTCTCAGCACCCCCAGGCTCAGCACCCCCAGGCTCAGCACCCCCAGGCTCAGCACCCCAAGGCACAGCACCCCCAGGCTCAGCACCCCCAGGCTCAGCACCCCCAGGCTCAGCACCCCCAGGCTCAGCACCCCCAGGCACAGCACCCCCAGGCTCAGCACCTCCAGACTCCGCACCCCCAGGCTCAGCGCCCGCAGGCGTAGCACCTCCAGTCTCAGCACCCCCAGGCTCAGCTCCCGCAGCCGCACCAGAGTCACCAGTGACCTCGACAGGCTCGACCGCGTCTACCTGGGACACACCTGAAGGGGCAGGACCCTGAGGGGGGAGGGGGTCTACCGGGGGGGGACCTGGTACCAAGAAGAGCGGGGGCGGGGGGAGGGACGGAGTGCGGTAGGGGAAGAGGCGGTAGTAGGGTACCGACTCGTCGAACGTGACGTCCTGGGAGGACAGAACACGTCGAGAGGTGGGGTGGTAGAACTGCCACCCAGGGGCGTCGGGGGGGAACCCCAGGAAGACGCAGGGAGCAGCGCGAGGGGACAGCTTGTCCGCAGACAAGTCGCAGACAAAAGCCCGAGATCCCCAGACCCGGAACGCCGACGCATCGCCAACCTTCCCCGTC